GCACCTGAGCCTTGAGATGTGGCTTCCTGGTGAAATGGGTGGGGGGGGGGGGGGGGAAGGTCATATCTAAAGGCTGCGTTGCAGGTAGCCTGAGTGCGTTGTACCGTAAATCAGCGAGATTGATAGGAGACGCCTTCATGAGCCAATTAATTAGGAGTCTTTATTCCCACGGGCCCAGAGGGCGGTGTTTCCCAAATCTCTGAGCAAACACATAGAGGAAGTTCTCTCTATTTGTACCTTTTTGAGCCCTTTGTCTGCAGATTTCACAAAGAGCTCTGTGTAGGTTATTGTTACAGATAGTTTGTAACCAATACTTGGCTTGAGAATATGGGAATTACTATCAGTATCGGCATTAGCCTGTTACCTCAGACGGCTAGCTTGCAAGGTCAGACAGCTAAGTTTTCATCTTTTTCTGTTATTCAAACTAAAACAGTTACTTTACAGCATTAGGGACTATCTAAAAATAACAGAGGTGACCTACAGAATAAGAGACTGTCTAAGAATAACAGAGTAGTTCAAACAGCAGTTTTCCAAAGGAGGGATTGCTATGCTTCAAGTGTACATTCTAGATTCTGCTATTGCAGCCCACTGTGCAATGTGCAGTGTCCTCCTGGTCACCCACAGCTTACATGTGAATGCGTACTCTATGTCCCAGCACACCCCTGCTGTGAGTAGTGAGTATTATCTTCACTTACAGGAGGCTCTAGCGCAGCGGTTCTCAACCTATGGGTCGCGACCCCTTTGGCGGTCGAATGACCCTTTCACAGGGGTCGCCTAAGACCATCCTGCATATGAGATATTTACATGACGATTCATAACAGTAGCAACATGGCAGTTATGAAGAAGCAACAAAAATAATTTTATGGTTGGGTCACAACATGAGGAACTGTATTTAATGGGCCAGAAGGTTGAGAACCACTGCTCTAGCTGTTCAGTGATTTTGACCTAGGGGTCAGTCGCTGCTGGGCCAGGAAATGGAACCCAGTTTGTTTCTCTAAAGCAGGGGTCCTCAAACTACGGCCCGCGGGCCACATGCAAATACAAATATTGTATTTGTTCCCATTTTGCTTTTTTACTTCAAAATAAGATATGTGCAGTGTGCATAGGAATTTGTTCATAGTTTTTTTTAAACTATAGTCCGGCCCTCCAACGGTCTGAGGGACAATGAACTGGCCCCCTGTTTAAAAAGTTTGAGGACCCCTGCTCTAAAGCGTGTCTTCGCTGCTTCGTGTGTGTAAGTTAACACTTGCTGATGAGTTGAGTAGGCGTGCAGAAAATGCTCAAATCAGAGTCTGTGTTCTACATTTTACCATTCAGATCAGTCGGAGTGATGGAGAGGCTTTAATGAGGCATCTTAATGTGTTGTTGTTTTTTTCAATAGTAAATCTTGGTTTTAGTTCATGGAAATCTGAAACCTCTCTTTTATGATCGTGTGAAAGGATTTTTGGTATAGTATTACAAATGTGGGAATTTGGGATCAGGTCAGTCCCTGTCCCTGTGGCATTACGATCTTAGACAAATCAGGTATCTTTTTCTAAGCCTTCTTTGTCTCAACTTTTCAGATTAAACTAACGATCCCCAGTGCTCATCACTTTACTGTGGTATCTCTTCACCCATCACCGATCCATCTACACCAGTGGTTCTCAACCTGTGGGTCGCGACCCTTTTGGGGGTGGAACAACCCTTTCACAGGGGTCGCCTAAGACCATCGGAAAACACATATATAATTACATATTGTTTTTGTGATTAATCACTATGCTTTAATTATGTTCAATTTGTAACAAGGAAAATACATCCTGCATACCAGATATTTACATTACGATTCATAACAGTAGCAAAATTACAGTTATGAAGTAGCAACGAAAATAACTTTATGGTTGGGGGTCACCACAACATGAGGAACTGTATTAAAGGGTCACGGCATTATGAAGGTTGAGAACCACTGTTATAGAACAACTAGAGGTCCAGTGCACGGATTCGTGCACTGGTGGGGTCCCTCAGCCTGGCCTGCACCCTCTTGCAGTCCGGACCCCTCGGGATGTCAGACTGCCGGTTTTGGCCCGATCCCCAGTGCCGACATCCCCCAAGGGATATAGTAGCGCCTAAAACAACAGGCAGCCAGGCACCGCATGCTCCCGCTCATCCTGGCCCTGCTGCGCCTTCCACTGCCGCTCAGCAGCGTGCTGCCATGGAGGTGGGAGAGGCTCATGCCGTCCCAGCTGCGCTCACCAGCAGTGAGCCTGGTGTATGGCACCTGTCAGTCAGCTGAGCAGAGCTTGGCTGTGGGAGCCCACTGACCACCAGGAGGCAGCTCCTGTGTTAAGCATCTGCCCCCTGGTGGTCAGTGTATGTCATAGCAACCTGTTGTTCAGTCGTTCAGGTAGGCTTTTGTATATATAGATTATAATTCATCTAACTATGAATAACTAGAGGCCCGGTGCACAAAAATTTGTGCACTGGCGGGGG